TATTGTTTCATTTTAAAATATTAACTAGTTATTAAAATAACTTGTAACCCTAAAGTGTTTTCAAGTGTAATATTTCTGTAAAGGCTAGGGACAGAAAAATAGATCACACTAAATTTTATTATATTTTAAAAGATAAAAAAACTACTTACTGACAAATTGGTCAAACCTAGTGGTTTGAAGGATACTGGCAAATATTGGTAAAGATTTAACATTACAATTAATTTGTTTTTGAGGGCTGCACTGTGATCCTTAAATAGTCATTTAATGACATCAAATTATTCTGGTTCTAAATATGATTTTTTTTTGTATAGTATAGATTTTTTAGTATTTTACCATTTTTACACTAAATGTCTAATGTAAATCATGTTAAAAATGTAGTGCAGAAGTCACATGGACCACTTTTATGGTGCTTTTTTGAAAGAAGTCATTATTTCAACTTCAACTTTTGCTTTTAACCATGACACAGGAAGAGAATTTATAGTGCACCATTCAAAAAAAAAAAAATCTTCCAAAAGAAGAATACATTTTTCTACAAGCACTGAAAGAACTTTTATATAAACATACTTCTGTCTGTTAATTGACGCAAAAATAACAACAAAAAAAAAGTAAAAGAAAATTCTGACATTGTTTACAGACCCGCGGGCAGTTCCAGTCTGTATGAGATTGTTTCTTTCTTGTAACACAAACGGAAAAAAAAACAGACAATTACAACGAATGGGGACCGGAGATTTTGCGCTTAAAATTGATCCAAATGCATCACAGTATTTATTTTAAGTCTTCTGAAGCGATATGATAGCTTCTTGTTACGAAAAGTCCAAAATGTACGTGGTTTCCCAGTGATAATCTAATCTTGTTTGGACTTCATAAATGGATCACAAAATTGTGAACAAATCATTAAAATTTTAAACCGATTCATCGAAGATCAATTCGTTCATGTTTTTGCGCATCAATTTGCATACTTAAAGTGCCCCTATTATGCCATTTTTAAGGTTGCTAATATTGTTTTATGAGTCTCCTAAAACAGGTTTACATGCATGCAAGGTCAAAAAACATGTTAGTTTTCTCAAAAAATAAATTTAATTTGACCTAATTTCTAAATGATTCGTAAACGACTCGTGCGAAGCAGGATGTAGATAAAACAAATTTACTCTCACAGCGTAGGATACAGCATCTTCTCGACATGATGTTAACCACACGGAAATTTTACTGTGTTTATGGGCGGGCAAGTTGGCGACGTAGAACGTGGGCGGACATTATGCAAATGTGTTACTTCGTGACATACAGCCGTAACAGAATAAGATTTGAATTCCTGACGACTGGTTTAGGCAATTGCAAGCCGACTTTTTTTTTTTTGATAGATAATAACTTTATTTATCGTGCACTGTCGGCTTCACAGCTTTGCAGATAGTTTATGTTCACATACAGCTACATGCAGTGTTGGGGAGTAACTAGTTACATGTAACGGAATTACGTAATTTAATTACAAAATAAAAGTAATTGTAAAAGTAGGGTAACTTGTAATCTGTAACCTATTACATTTCCAAAGTAACCTTCCCAACACTGGCTACATGACACACTGCATGAAAGGTAATATTCGAAAAGGCATAACAGGAGCACTTTAATTGTGATGGGTCTAGTCTTCCGTACATAAAAGTAACTGCACAGTGACTGTTGATTCTTGTGTGATGAACAGAAATGAAGCAAAACATGCCTTTGAAAGCACTCGTTTTTCTTGATATGCAATTCTAGTTTCATACACGTTCTTCTGGACCCCTAACAACATCAGATGCTGATTAGCCATTTTGAGCAAATTTCCTGTGAGGACACTGTTCTGTAAATTAATATCAGACTCACTTCTACACACTCTCACCCATACAAACTCATAACACATGTGATACACAATACACAAATTCAAACAGATTGCTCTCAGCATTCAAAAAAAATTACAGACTCTTAGTTCATATATTCACACCTTTATATACAATTATGGCTTCATATAACAGCTGCAATTTTTACTTTTTGTTAAATTAAAATCAATTCTTCATCGCTGTTTACATTACAATATTAATAGGCACTTCCTCCATGTAGAACTAGTCTAAAAAAGCATGTGGTTCTGACAAAGACTGTACGATGAGTGTATGCTTCTAATGTACAATTGGCTACAGTGGGAAAACATCTCCCATTTCAATTAGGTCACGTCAGACAGCATTAAAATCAGCAAAAAATAAAATTAAAAAAACAACTTCACGAACACATTTGAGACAAATTTGTCCATTAAGAAATTAGAGTCAAAACAAATGACATTTCTGATGATTAAATAAGACAAAATCAATGCGATTGACGTCAAAAGATCCAAAAAATCTAGACCAGAAAAAAACTCAGTCAGTGACACATAATTATTATTATATACAGATATTAGTTAACAGACACAAACAAGCAAAAGCATACTTTGAATAATCATAGGCAGTCTGAAATTACTACAAAAAGCAGATTGTTGTTTTATATCTGTTAAAAATATATGAACATGTTTAAAATATTCTTTATAATTTACAAACCTTCATGGTACACCTCACTGCTTGGATAGAAAATCTCACAGGTTAGAAATCTCAATGCATTCAATATTTTGTAGATGTGTGTGTGCGTGCGCATGTACAACATTAAGACAAGAACACAGAGTAAAATCTTAAATTACACAAAAATTTCATATAATTTCTGTCAAATACATAAATGTAAAAACATTTTAAGAGGCCTTTAGCCTGATGCCCTCAGACAGATGCAAAATTAGTCTTAAGTAAATGTGGCGTCCAGTGACCTTTTCTGAGGATTCTAGAATCCCAGCATAGCTCATTTTAAATTTGTTTCATTTTGCCATTATGTTTAACTGGTCAATGTCAAAAATCCAGGATGATGAAAATATCTTGTGCCAAGATATGTGGATTTTAGAGTTCCATTTCAAAATACAAGAATTTGTTTACTCTAAAAATATCACAAAAGAGGGGGGGGAAAGAAAGGAAAATATTATAAAATGTTTTCAAATACATTTTCCAAGGTAAAAATCATCATCATTATTATTTTTATACAAATATGAATGTTTGAATCATGAATATCATGAAGTTTTCTTGGGGTTATACTTGAGGGGAAGGCACAAAGTACATATCATTATATACAATGAAAGAATTTCATCCAGCAGTTTGAGAAAATCTATGTTATATATACAGCAAACAAGGCCACAATAAAGGATTTTTTTTTTTAGACATTTATAAGCTGGGAGGGGGTTTTGAAGAGTATTTAAAATGACCTGTAAGAAGCTTACAAATGTACAAATATAAACATTTCATTTACCATCCCATCAGTACAACAAAAATATACATCTCTGTACAAAACACATTCATTCAGCACCCTGAAATGATAACCTAGAAGATAACTGTAATGTAGACTACAACAGACATTACACAGCACTCCAGTTTATATGACACACACATCTGCCCTGAATAAATATACAAAACAATCTCAAATGTCTGTGAGTGTTTGACGTGACTATTTTTGATTAGCCAGCTTCAATATTTACACTCTGACTAACCACAAGCAAAAAGCAGATTATGATGATTCCTGACAATCATGGACTGGAACAATGTACTGTAAATCAGTAAATAATGACCATTCACTGGCCTCTGCTGATTGGTTGCAGAAGTTCTGACTGAGGTAAACAGTTCATGAGGTGCATGCACACAGAGAGAGAGAACAGAGAAAACTGTAATAGTGAACTAAAATAACATCGGTCATGTCAGTAATTTTTCTATTTTATATGAGATATACAAAGTTGCAATTGTGAGAAATTAAGTCAGAATTCAGAGAAATAAAATTGGAAATGCTAGATATACTGTATAGTCACAACTACGAGAAATAAAGTAGGTGGCGGTACATGAAGCGGTAACAGGCATTTTGGTTGATTATGTACTGTAGTCACAACACGAGAAATAAAGTTGCAATTGTGAGAAATAAATTCAGAATTGGGAGAAATAAAATCGGAATTTGTAAGATATATAGTCACGAGTCACAACTACGAGAAATAAAGTCGCAATGGTGAAAAATAAATTCAGAAGAGAATTAAAATTGGAATTGCGAGACCTATATTCACAACTACGAGAAATCGAGTCACAATTGTGAGAAATTCATAATTGGGAGAAATAAAATCGGAATTGTGAGATATATAGTCACAACTACAAGAAATAAAGTAGGCGGCGATACATGCAGTGGTAATAGGCATTTCGCTTGACTACCTACTGTAGTCACAACTACGAGAAAAAGTCACAATGGTAAGAAATAAATTCAGATTTGGGAGAAATAAAATTGGAATTGCGAGATATATAGTAAAAACCATGAGAAGTCACGACTACGAGAAATAAAGTCGCAATGGTGAAAAATAAATTCAGAAGAGAATTAAAATTGGAATTGCGAGATCTATATTCACAACAACGAGAAATTGAGTCACAATTGTGAGAAATTCATAATTGGGAGAAATAAAATCGGAATTGTGAGATATATAGTCACAACTACAAGAAATAAAGTAGGCGGCGATACATGCAGTGGTAATAGGCATTTCGCTTGACTACCTACTGTAGTCACAACTACAAGAAAAAGTCACAATGGTGAGAAATAAATTCAGATTTGGGAGAAATAAAATTGGAATTGCGAGATATATAGTAAAAACCATGAGAAATAAAGTAGGCAGCAGTACACGTGTCGGTAATAGGCATTTCGCTTGACTACCTACTGTAGTCACAACTACTAGAAATAAAGTTGCAATTGTGAGAAATAAAATCAGAATTGTAAGATATATAATCACAACTACGAGAAAGGAGAAATAAAATTGGAGTTGTGAGATATATATTCACAATTACGAGAAATAGTCACAATTGTGAGAGATAAACTCAGCGTTGAGAGAAAACTAAATTGGAATTGCAAGATATATAGGCATACATATATAAAAAAAGGTGCAATTGTGAGAAATAAAGACAGAATTACGGCAAATAAAGTCGTAACTGTGCGGAGATGGGCTTCAATGATGCCAAAAATCTATTTATTTATTTTACTTTTGTTTTATTTTCGTTCGTAATTGTTTTATTTTAGACTTTTAATAATTGAGTCCTTGCAGATGGGAAGGAAATGTAAGCTTGTAATCTCTCTTGTATGTGTAGCCTTTTGGTATGACCTACAGCATTCAGTCTGCTTTAGTCAACTGTTGATTGACCTGCTATATGTCTATGACATATTTACATATATATTGACACACATTTGTTATGATTAATTCATATTATAAATCAAAAACAGCCTTCCTCGCCAATGTGTATATGTTTGAGTATATAAGGTGTTTATCCCGATACCCAGCTATGTGTGTTGGTCTTGACTCCATGTGGGAAACTCTGTTGACTGCTCATGGGGTCGAAGTTGAAGTCCAGAGCATCGCCGTCCATGAGCGTGTCGTGAAGGACGGTTTCTACGTCACACTCCAGCTGCTCGATCGACATGTCATCTAAGTCACTGGGCAGCCGCTCCGGGTGGCTGTGATGGTGGTGAGGACCCGGTCCGTGCCTGTGGAAACCGTTGCCATTGGAGTAATTTGGCATTCTGGCTTCGCCTCCACCTCTACCCAGTTGAGCATGATGAGGCAGGTGTGGTTGTAGCTTCATGTTACCGAGGCGAACAGGATGCCCGTGGGGCAACAGGGCACAGCCGTTCATACCTATTGCTGGTGATGGCAATTGATGAAGCAAGCGCGGGTGCCCATGCAGGTGAGGATGGGTGATCATTTTGCCCCCCTGTCCCATTTGTCCCTGACTAGCATAGCTAGGTAGCACCCGTCGCCCTTCTCCAGACCCCACTGACTCTAAAGGCTGCATCATGTCCCCTCTCGGATCGGCTTCTGCGGTCAGCAGCTCTTTGAGCAACCCTGCGGCACAGTTGTACTGACTCACGAAGGGTCCGTAGCCTCCTGGTTGACTGTCTGATAAAGTCGGTATGGCAATGGGACTCTGTCCGCCCATCCCGGCCTGTCCATACAGGCACCTCCGGTAGTCCTGCTGGACTTGGGGCTGAGGACCCATACTGGGAGAGTTGTAAGACGGGTACCCAGGGCTACCCTGCATCATGGACGAAGACAATGCAGTTTGGGTGTCTTGGCTGCCCTGGGTGTTATTTTTGGGTGAGATGAGGTTGAGGTTGTCTAAGAGATTGTCCATCATCACGTTCTCAGAACCGTGGTGACCCGCCACTTCGGACAGGCTGGGGAGGGGGCCACCCAGTTTGGTGCCTGGGTACCCGATGGGAACCTCACCAGCCTCATCCTCCTCAGGTAGGAAGGGTGAGCGACGGCCGCTGAGCGTACTGGCATCAGAGCTGGCGCGGGTACGAAAGGTGGTCCAGGGTTCAAAGTCTTCATTGCTGTGAGAGTTGGGGCTGCCGAGCCATTTTGGGTACTGAGAACCAGGACTGTTAGAACTACCATCCAGTCCACCCTGCATCGACATCTACAGATACAAAAGAAGAGCCATGAAAACCAACTGTAACACATCACTGTTCAGATATATTGCTGTAAGTCATTCTTACACAATGTCTTCACTGGAAGTGGCACAACTATGGATCATCTGATCAAATTGATCACAAACCAATCAGATTTTCAGAAGATCAGGGGTTTGAGGCCATGCATTATTTTTAAACTGAATTTCCCTGGAGAAAAAAACAATTCTGGGTTGTTTTGGAATAGAGAAATAATTGTACACATTAATTTTGCACCAATAAAATTGTGTATAAATATGTTTTAATTATTATTTTAATTAATATTTTTTATTTTAATTCAACTGTCTATTTATTTATTTATTCATTCATTCATTCATTTATTTTTATATATTTATTTTATTTAATAGTCCAGAGACCAGAACCATAATCAATTGATTTCGCAAATATAAACAAAAATATATAACATACGAAATTTTAAAAAAATTAATAAAAAATAAAAAAACAAACAAACAAACATTTAAATAAATAAATGCATTTCACATCATTATATTTGTAAAAAATGTATTCTGTTTCAGGTGGTCAGGCAAAATAAAGTAGCTTGAAGTGCATCAAAAATAGAAATGGGGAGCTCATTGACTAAAGGCATGTCATAATGTACCATAATTTATGTTTTTCTGTGTTGACAACTTTATTAATTAAAATGTGAACAATTTAGATAAGGCGTTGCAATGTGCCACTTACATCTGACACAGAGAAATCAAAGACAAGATTTTTTTTATGTGTGAATATATAAACTGTGTAACTGATTGCAAAAGCCTTATGTTGAGTGATGTTTGCAGCAGTTCAAATCAATCAATCATATTTTGGCACACAGTGAATCTGCACCTAGTGAGCGAGCAGAGACTGTTTTCTCCTCAACTGACCTTTTTCTTGGCTGCTCGTCCGCGGCTCTTCGTGAACTTGCTGTTGTTGTCCATGGAAGTGGCTCTCCGGCGTGGAGACTTGCCACTCTTTCCCCCCTCAGGGTTCAGCATCCACCACGAGCTCTTCCCCGTTCCTTCATTCTGGACGCGCATGAAACGACTGTGCAAGGACAGATTGTGTCTGATTGAGTTCTGGCAGAGAGAGAGAGAGAGAACAGGATGAGAACATGGAAATCCGAGTATAGACGTCTCACTGGAAACCATTCACAAGAAGTGGAAATGACCTGCGATCGTCCAATCAATATCATAATATCTTGCTTTTACCCAATAAAAAAGATTTTAACACATAATATCTTGCTTTTGTACTGTAATACATGCAATAGTATTGAAACACGAGACAAACCACATTTTGATGGATAAAACAGACAATATTTTGACAGACAAGTTGCTGTGAGGGTGTTTGTGTGTTTGAAGAATGACAGATATCACTTTATCTTATGTTACCAAATCATATGCACACAATTGCAGATACAATCATATACAAAGAGTCTTTTCAGAGCCTAGTGACAATATGAAGTAGAGGAATAGCCAGTTAGCTGGCAGAGGAAGAACTGTATTAGTCATGTCGTTTTCGGAGGCACACACTGAACTCAACGTATACACACGCACATCCTGTGCTAATGATATTTTGTCTGCTTCGGTTTTTCCATTCACACCCTGACCAGACCTTCATCTACTAAGAAAGAGAAGCGAGACTACCACAGTACAATTTAAAAGTCTCAAACACTTTGCTAGCTTAACTCTTATTGTGATTCCTTTGGAGAAAAGTGACATAATTTGGGCCTGAACTGTCATTGAGAAGAAAAAAGTAAACAATACAGACTTTTAGAAGAGGATAAAGGACAAACTCAGTATTGTAATTGTGACTGGTAATTTGTTTTGTGTGGTATTTTGACAATACCATGCCATCATAATAACGAAGTTAAAAATTAGAGTTAGAAAAGGTCATAACCGAGTTATTTCAAGATGGTAAAAATAAGAGTAAATGTGACATTTATTAATGGTGTTGCGTGATGAATGTCTGATGATTGAAGGGTTTTCAAATTAAGTGAATTGTCAAATTGTAATTAATAAATGATTAACAACAGACATTAAAAATAATATAAGTATATAATGACAAATGGCTATAATTACAAATTTTTTCCCTCAGAAATAGAAAAAATAAATACATTTAAGAGAGGCATTGACGTCTATGATAGTAGAAATAAAACCTATCCAACATCATAATCCTTTTTCAAAATGTGAAATATGAAGCCTGTTTTAGTATAATTCAAGTAATGTACAAAACAAAATAAAAGAACCGTTTCCTCCATCATACACATAAACCACATGGATCCACGTGTAAAAACACTTTGGATCTTTCAAAGGGAAGAGTTGCTGGTTATATTCGTATTGATTATGTGTCTCTAAAACATTCAAAAATCTTTGTGGGAAGACTTACTAAATCAACACTTAACAGTTGAAGCAGTTTGACTGTATTGGTCCAAGCAAATTAAGTATTTATGCATTACTACATTTTAAATAAACAATGTACTACAAGAAGTGACAAAAAAAAATCAAGTGTCGCTTTACTGGAGGGATGAACAGCCTGTTTCCTGTGTAGCAGGAAGTAAAGTGGTCGGAAGAGGTAAAGCAGAGGCTCAAGCCCCAGAAGAAGGTCAGCAGGAGGTTACCTCTGACCTTTGATGCTAAAGGTCATGACCTTAGAGGTCAAGTCAAGGGAAATGCGGCTTCTACATCACAGAATCAGAGAAGAAAATGCCTGCATAGATTTGAACAGGGTGAATGAGTAAGTGTGCAGGGGGTCTGGAAACACACGTTCTGGATCTTCTGTCTGACCCGTTTAACTGGCCCTACTAGGATAAGAATAATGAGGGAAAACAGAGTAGAGGAAAGGATGCTGAGTGAGAGGAAAAGGAAGAACTGGAGGAATAGAGATAAAATGAGAAAGAGGGGTACCAGTATGGAAAGTGAAGTGGTGGAGACAGAGGGAGGTAGTAGGCATTGAGTCATGAAGGAGGAGGAGGAGGAGGGTGTGTTGAGGTAGAGGCGGGGCAGCGGGAATGTTTTCCTGCTGAGAGGGACGGGGTCGATGAGTTCGCTGTGTGTCTGTGCGTGTGTGTAGAGGAGGACAGCCTCTCCAGTACTGCTGACAGACCCTTGCAAACAGACACAGGGAGAGTAATAACGTATGGGGCTGTCTGGCGTCTGTCTGCACTGTAACAGAACCCCCACAGCACAGCCTCGCTCCACCCTGACACTCAGAGAGAGAGAGAGAGAGGGAGAGAGAGAGGGAGATAAAGACACACAGACACAAAGAAAGACAGAAATAAAGAAAGACACAGACACTGAAAAAATACGGATGCCTGGATATGAAAATTCTGTCCAATGTTAATAGTTGATAATCATTATGTTCAGGCCGTTAAAAGGGCAGATATTTAAAAATTCTATACTATTTTGTTCTATTATAATATTCAAAATACACACACACACACACATATATATATATATAAATTTTGTCAACTGCCAACATTACAATTCTATGTTAATTCTATTTATACTTTTATATTTATATTTTTAATTCAAATTAATTACATGAAATTTCAAAATTAAATTAAAATAAAACGTCAATGAAAATCAATGTTAAATGCTTTTTAAATACTACAACATTATAATATACAACATTAACAATTAATATTTTGAGACTTGCACCCTAATACAATCAGTATTTTTCACATATTCTGATTAAAAAAAAACAATAACAAGTTGTTCGTAATTAGTAAAACATAATTTCACTAAACACACATTTACCATTTTTAACTTGAACTTTTCTGTACCCAAAACATAATTCAACAGAGGAAAAAATCTCTTGAAACTTTATACTTCACTCTTTCTATAAAAGTACATAAGAAAGAAAGACAGACAGAAGGAAAGAAAGACAGAAAGGCAGAAAGAAAGAAAGAAAGAAAGAAAGAAAGAAAGGATGTTGTGAGTGTTCCAGTGTACTCATGCATTAATTCATCTAGTCATATTAGCAGTTCACGCACACACTGTCACATTCAGAGCACAAGTGCACATGCTTTGCACATGCACACCAGGCCGGGCGGCAGGATGTGAGTCACTACAGGAATGTGACGGAGAAGGTGTCACAGTTTTCTAATCAAACTGGTGATCACACATTCAAAAGAACAAAATTACATTAATGCCTGAATAGTTTCAGGGTCAGGTATGGTTGTTCATTTACTCGATACCCTCAAAATAGATTGAAGCTTGCAGTTAGTCTTTGACTACTGATCTGAGGCCAGCTTTATAATGTACAGTACAGGAAGTGAGTAATAGCTAGGGCTGCATGAAATCTGCTCCCCCAGAAAACAGAAAAAGGCTCTTTAGATTTCTACAAATATTCATAAACAGACACATCACCGCATCAATTCAACTGTGTCACAGATGTCAATTCTGGATGCTGTTTGAATGCACACAAATGCAAATTAGATTTGAAAGTAGATTTTCAATAGCAAATTAAATGTTATTTTGTTGCTCACACAATGCTACTCGATGGCTTCAAAGATTTGAAAAACAGCCCACAAGTTACATGGATTACTGTTATTTTGGAATGACGTGAACAAATTAAGACAGAGTTGTCAGAGTTGAGTGAATTAGCCTAGTAATTCTGGTCTGAGATCAGCACATGGGACATCTATACATGGTGTGGGGCCTTCACCTCTCTCTACCCTTGTCTTATCACAGGTATTCAAGGTATTTCAAGGTTACATGATGACCTTTGGTCTCAGATCTGGGATATCCCCAACTGATCTGCGACACTAAAGAAACGTGTGCATTAAAATCCCCTTTGGGTAAGATTTGAGTCAACTGAAGTGTGAGATGAAAAACTGTGGACCCATGCACCAATTTCTACACAGACGGGTGGGAAGTGTGCTAAGAGTTTGTGCAAATTGAAACTTCTCTAATTTCACATAAAGGTTTGTCAGTCAGACAGAATCAGTTCCATAAGAAATAAATGAAATCAATGAGATGCAGCCATCATGAGGAGAGCAAAGCCATCATGAGAGGCAAATGCCACTCAAATTACATTGCGTTGTAGTTATTTACAATTATTTTTAATTCAACTGATTAAATAAAAAAAATTATAAAATATTTATTTAAAAAAAAAAAAAATATATATATACATACAAAATAAAATCTTGTAATAAAAAACTACCAAACATTAATCAAATGTATTTGAGAATGGAAATATTATTTATACTAAATAATTCATGAATTAATTTATGAAATTATAAATATAAATTCCATAAGAGTCCAATGTCAAATTTTTCAAATCAAGCCATCATCAGGAAAAAAATTGTATAGGCAAATGTCACTCAAATTACATGGTTATTGTAGTTATTTAGTTATTTAACAAACACACCCACATGTGTACATTGTTATAATTATTTATAATTATTTACTAAATTAAATTTAACTAAACTAAAATTTATTTAATAAAATAATATTTAATAAATTATTTATAATTAATGAATCTATGAAATTATACATATGAGCTGAATTCAACATCACAGTTCTAGCACACCCAGTATATAAAATTTCTTTGCAAGTCAGGTATGACAAATTGGTAAACAGAAGCGAATTTGCTTGTAGTACCAGGTGCGGGTGGCAAATAAGTGTGTGTGATGCTGTAACGGGTGTGTGTGTGCATGTGTGAAAAACACATTTCTATTATAATCCTCAGAGCTATTTTTTGCAGTGATAGGTGCCAATAGGCCATGCTGAAGGGGTCACTATGTATTTGAGTGCGCGTGTGTGTGTGCGCGTGTGTGTGTGCGCACGTGTGTGCGCATCAGATCTCCTGAGGGATTTATAAACAAGTCCGAGAAACCCCATCTGCATCCTGTCTGACACCCCAGACACCACACACACTGACTGCCTCTCAATAACAAGCAGGCATTATTAATCAGCCATCACCTTACAACTTACAACTCAACATAACCAAACCAACTCACACTCACATGTTATGTGAACAAAGAGAACAACGATTTTAAACTGATCACCTCAATTAGAAAATTATACAAGTCAGTTTCCGAATTAAAGTAAAATTTAAAACAGGTAATTGTAAG